TATATTTGTAAGTTTTGAACATAAATTTTCAATTTTTGAATATAAATAGAAAAATATCGCATATATGTTTGTAAGTTTTGAACATAAATTTTAATTTTTTGAAAAGAAATAGAAAAATGTTGCATATAATTATATTTGTAAGTTTTGAACATATTTTTTTTAATATATTTAGAAAAATATTGCATACATATTTGCAAGTTTTGAACATAAATTTTTTTTTTCAATCAATATTTTTTTTTTTTTAAATATTGAAATATTTGACGTGCCATAACTAGGTGGTGAAATTACTATCGAATCGATCCACAGCGTTAGCTGTAAATCACCGTTTGTGAGACGGGATTCGCATGCCTAGATACATTTGATTTACCTCTTTCAAATTGCACATCAAAATTCTCAAAAAAGAACTTCCTTCACATATGTACAAACGGCCATCGAAAATAATACTTGCAAACTTATCTGAGATTTAGTCAATATATTTAAGGAAATGCATACGTGTATTTCATTTTTGAAAGGGGGGTCATGCTCAAACGTATATATTAAGAAATAAAAAAGGGTATATCTCAAATGTGTATTGAGCATAAAACAGGTAATAATTTAATTACAGAATTGAAATGAACTTTATTAAAACGGTATATGGGTCATTTTCAAAAGATGTCGAATTTTGAAATTGCAAAATTGATTTAAAGTTACTAATTCAAACAACCCTTGTCATAAGCAAATCAAAACAAACAGTACTTATAGGACAACATATAAAAAGATGCAATCATGATAATGTCATACAAGAATATGGTGCAATATTTTGTCTCTCCTGTTACCATGTTCAAAAGAAATTTCGGATTATTTAGAAGAGGCATAGAAAAAATTTTAAGCTTGTTTTTCGTAGCCAATAAGATGGTTTTCAAGAGTAAAAACTTCTTTATAATATATTCATTCTGTGAAATGATAGATTATTTGTCAATTTTCCATGCTGCACTGAAAAATGCCTCTAAAAATTGGTTTTCAAAGGTTATAAAAATAACCATCAGTAATGCAAGTCTAATATAGCAATTCATAATGTTCAGCATTTTTCTCTCTTTCTAATAAACCCAACATCAAGTAATTCCCTCGTATGTTGGTTTACTTTTGTCTTTATTTTATTGGTAACAGGAACGTACGTTAATGATATATCACCATATTAAGTTCTATCCTGTTACCTTTTTGTCTATCCTGTTACCGATAGCAGTATTACATCTGCAAATGCTAATCTGCGAAATCAGTTACAAAAGTTACATAGTTGGTAACTTAATTATGTATGATGGTGACATTAGTTATTTTATTAAATCTACAGTTTTAAGAACCAGGGGCGTAGCTGCCGTTAGACACTTTATGCACGTGCCTACACATATTTTTTTCACAAATTTATTAATTACAACGTTATCTGATCTTATCTGTAGATGCACGCGAAGTCGTCAAAACTCTTTATCAAATGCCATTTGTACACTAGTCTATCATCATTACTGAATGAAGTATTGGATAGAATTGTATGTACATTATATTCCACCTTATATAGAAACTAAGAACTATAGAACTTTGGTTCATATCATTTCACTTCTATCAACGAATACTTGAATGAACCTCAACATGCTCAAAACCCTGACATTTTATTCTTAGATACCTGATTTCTTATTAGTTGTTGTTGGCTTTCAACTAGCTTTCCGCTTAGTCTTCATTCGACCTACAATAAAACCCTTGCCAAAGTGGGGCGTACGTCCGTTTGGCTGTGTGGGATGTATAAATACGCAGTCACGTCGGGTCAGAATGGGGACGTTAAATCCGATGCCTAGTTTAGAGAGAATGCCACGCTCTCTACACGTTACGAACACTCGCAACAACTTAACTCTTTGAGGGTCCCGTAGGTGGTCGGCTGAAAGGCAAAATTTCTGTCCATATCCAATAAACCCTCATTTTCCAATGGCATTTCCAAATTTCAAGACCTTCATCCTGAACGACCTCTATTACAGGACCTACCTATTGTAAATTTGTTTTCGTTCTGAACATGCATTAACTATATTTGCCACTGCACGTTTAGCATTCAATCAATCAATCAACTCGCTTTCAGTAACTTCAAGTACTCTCAGATCTACGTGTAATGACCATAATTAATCAAATTCCAAAGCAGGAAGGGATTTGACAGTACAGGATATCAGAAAATATGAATTTCTTGAGTTTTGTTAGATAGTATGAACAGAACAGAACTTTTGCATTAGGCATCGACTGTGTGTTTGTATGTGTTTGTGTGGCCGGGGGAGGGTGAAGGTTTAAGAGTCAAAATATAAATGGTCGATGCCTAACCCAAAGGATAGTATTATTATATAGTAGTCTCAGTGTTTACGTGCCAATTTTTTTAACGAAGGATCATCAATATGTACTTTCAATTGACGTACATATCAATCATCCTCAATCAGAAAGGAATATATATGAGCTAACATACTAAACAGGATGTACTGCTTAATTATAGGGCTACGCTGATCTACGCTGGGCAATGCATGTTGTAAATAAAAAAAAATAGATTCTCGATTGTACTGCGTTAATTCATCAGTCGGAAGTTATTGTAAAATTATTTATAATTCTTCGAACTTTTCTTCATAGATATAGGAAGATGTGGTATGAGTCCCAATGAGACAACTCTCCATCCAAGTTACAATTTATAAAAGTAAACCATTATAGGTCAAGGTACGGCCTTCAACCCGGAGCATTGGCTCACACCGAACATGCCGAACAGCAAGCTATAAAGGGCCCCAAAAAATTACTAGTGTAAAACCATTCAAACGGAAAAACCAACGGTCTAATTAATCTATATAAAAACGAGAAACGAGAAACACGTATGAACTACATAAACAGACGACAACTACTGTAATCAGATTCCTGACTTAGGACAAGTGCAAACATTTGCAGCGGGATTAAACGTTTTAATGGTACCAAACCTTCTCCCTTTTCTGAAACAATAGTATAACATCACAACATAGAAAAACACACTATAAAATATCAATTGGAAGGCTTAACTCAATCAAAAAACGTAAATTAACACACAATGAACGAATAAATTTGACCTGTGACACCTGAATGCAAATACACAGTTAATCTTCATGTATATATTATCATCATGATAAAATGTATGAGGCGCCGTTTTACTATTTATTCCTTATTTTCTGATATCAAAAAATGATTTTCTGATATCAAAAATTCAATTTTTTAATATCATAAATTCATTTTTTGATATCAGGATTTATAGTTGAACCAAAATATCTCCTTGATCTCTTACATGTACCATGATTTCTCAAACTAATAACTTCCAGGAAGTGACATGTACAACAGTTACTAGACATGCCCGAAACGCGCGTCTGGCGTATTAAATTATAATCCTGGTACCTTTGATAACTATTTACACCACTGGGTCGATGCCACTGCTGGTGGACGTTTCGTCCCCGAGGGTATCACCAGCCCAGTAGTCAGCACTTCGGTGTTGACATGAATATCAATTATGTGGTCATTTTATAAATTTCCTGTTTACAAAAGTATGAATTTTTCAAAATACTAAGGATTTTCTTATCCCAGGCATAGATTACCTTAGCCGTAATTTGGCACAACTTTTTGAAATTTTGGGTCCTCAATGCTCTTCAACTTTGTACTTGTTTGGCTTAATAACTATTTTGATCTGAGAGTTTCTGATGAGTCTTATGTAGACGAAACGCGCGTCTGGCGTATTAAATTGTGGGCTAGGTCATGTTGATTGTGTTTGATAAATGTTACATATAAGAGATCAAGGATGCATTTTGGTTCAATAATATAGGATATTCAACATGTAGTTTTGTAAGTACAAATTATTCATAGAACTGTTTTAATAAAATAATTAATGTCACCATCATAACAACTATGTGTTTGAAATACTCTAGCTATTATACGTTTGAATTTTGTAACTGTCGTGATTAAATGTATACTGTTTAATAAAGTAAGTTCATTTCTGTAATGGAATTATTACCTTAAAAAAGCTTTATGCTCAATACACATAAGAGATTTATCCTTTTTTTATTTCTTAATACCGGTATATGATGTCATTTAAGGATGACCCCCGCTCCTTTTTTTCAAAAATGAAATGCATGTATGTATTTCCTTTAATCTGATAAGTGTGCAAGTATTTCAATGACAGTGCTAGTATACAGGCAGGAAGTTCTTTTTTAAAATTTTGATGTGTAATTTGAAAGAGATAAATTGAATGGGTCTACACACATGACATTGGTATATGTGTAGTTCCTGCAAGTTTGCCGCAAGTTTGCAGAAAACAATTGCCGCAAGTTTGCAGCAAACGGTTGCGGTAAGGGTTTATTATCCTGAATCTCTTGCAATTTTACTGCAAACATTGGTGTTTCTGCAAACTTGCCCGTTGCCGAAAGATTTTGCGGGAAGTGTGCAGCTAGCTTTTTATTTTTATTTTAGGAGAGAGCTATCTGCTATCCTCCCATATTTTATCTTAACATCCGATCGTTTAGTTTTCCTTCTATCACACAAAATTGGGTTTTCGTGCATAAATAATCCATACAAAATGTGAGAATTTTGCACAAAATTAACTTGGCCAATTAAGAAAATTAAACAAAAAACCAACAATTTGAAAAAAAAAAAACAAAAAAAACAAACAAAAAAAATACATGATATATATCAATTACATTTTGGCAAATCTAGAATAGATTTTAATTTAGACCCCCCTCCCTTCCCCCCCCCCCCCCCCCCCCCCCCCCCTGTCTAACTTAAGTGGAATATTATGTTGTTGATCTCACTGATTGCTGTAATTAATTGTCCATGGTTGTTTATTATCATGAGAATGAAGAGGTTCAGGATGCTAAGCTATTGTGGGGGTAAGGAGAACATTTCGGCGAATCAGATCGCTACTTTCATCTCCCTGCAAGTTAATCAAGTTTATCGGAACTCCTCTGTGTGTTTCAATGTCATAGTAATCCGATGAGAACAACAACAAAATGGCAGCGCCCATTGTAGAATCTTTGTCTATTTTGACCCCATTTGTAGAGAATAGATGTATCATTTGTGGGTTTACGTTCATACAGAAAGAAACAACAAGCGACGGATTGGTAATTACTAATAAATTTACTCATCGAAAATTGAAATTAACTACAGAACGTTTACGCGAGATAGAAAAAGTAGTTGGAAATTTGCAAAAGAAAAAGAAAGACGACAATGGTGTCTGTTTAAAATGTTATAGAGCAGTCGAACGAGTGTTGCGATTAGAAAAGGAAGCAGAAAAGACAAAGGCTTGGTTATTAAAATTAATAGAAAGGGTTGAGCAATCAAGTAAACAAAGTGACATTGAACGCTTGCCGAGGAACACCTCAAACAAAGTAGAAAAAAATAGACCAGGTTCAAATAAGGATTGTAATGATACATGTAACGAGGCTATTCCATTTAATGAACTTACTAACTTAGCCAGGTATGTACCCATTGCTGCAAAACCCTCAACGGTTAACAATTGTGATCAAAATGTATCAAAACAAGCTGATCATACAAAGACTGTTGGTCCCTCACTGGGATTTGAACAAGCTGATAATACAGAGACTGTTAGTCGCTCACTGGGACTTGAACAAGCTGATAATACAGAGACTGTTGGTCGCTCACTGAAACAAGCTGATAATATAGAGACTGTTGGTCGCTCACTGGGACTTGAACAAGCTAATAATATAGAGAGTGTTGGTCGCTCACTGGGACTTGAACACGCTGATAATACAGAGACTGTTGGTTGCTCACTGGAACTTGAACAAGCTGATAATATAGAGACTGTTGGTTGCTCACTGGGACTTAGAAGTGGTACTGATGACAACAAAGAAGGGGAAAGTGAGGTAAAAACATTTGTTGTGTTGAACTTATTCTTACTAGTAACCAAAAGATATAAAATGAAGATGTGGTATGATCGCCAATGAGAGAGGGTAGGAATGCCCTTTACCGTCAGGCGTCAAACAGTCATTTTCAGCTACCATTAGCATCAAATTGGTTAAATTCTTACCGTCATACGTCAAAATATACTTATCGTGATTTGTCAGAGGTCTCAAATAATTATCGTTACGGTTATTTTGGGAAAAAAATTAATGTGATTCGTCAAAATCAGTCAATTTTTTTAATCATCTAAAAGAAAGTGTACATTTTATCGTCAAATTACACCCAAAACATGAAAAATTACTGTTAACGTCATATGGTAAGAACTTTTACCATTTTTCGTCATGAAGTTACCTCCATTACAACCCTCATGAGACTACTCTCCACAAGAGACCAAATTGACACAGAAATTAACAACTATAGCATGTATAGTATAGGTCACCATATGAACTTCAACAATGAGCAAAGCCCATACAGCATAGTCAGCTTCAAAAGGCCCAAAATTGACAAATGTAAAACTAACGGTCTAAATTAATAGTGACCAAGTAAGAGTTGTCTTTCTTTAATAATCACCTATTTAAGTAGTAATAATTAATCACTAGACTAAGTGATTTAATTTTATTGTAGCTTTAAATATAGAATACTAATGATCCAGGGACTAATTATGTTGCTAAAATTATCAGAACCAACATCTGTGTTGATAGGATGAACGGGTCATGTCAGGTGATGACCATGTACTAAATCTAGGATAATGACATAAAAATCACTTGTTTAAGTAAATGTATCAAACTCAATTTCCTTAAAAAAATCACTTTTTTCAGTATCATTATTTTTATTACCCCCACTAATTTCAACACCCCCCGAACAGTGAAATTTTATCGTGAACAGTAGAATTTTATTACATAATCTATATTAAGATGAAACCTTGAATTTTATAGGAAAAATACTCCCACTGCTGGGAAAATCTGTTAAGAAAGTATCAGTTCATTATGTAAAGCCATTTTTATAGCATTTTTTTTCAACTAAAATAGAATTTGCAGCTAAATGATTGCACCAAAGGCATAAACTTGAAGTTGCTGCTTAAAAGAAGCAAAAAGTTCATTTTTTTCAATTTTACTAATGAAAAGATATTATCTAAACTTATGTGTTTAAAATTTTGGTAAAACTACAAAATCACAATTTGTGACAAAACTACAAAATCACAATTTGTGACAAAACTTTGAATTTGCTACTTACATGTACATGACTTAAATAAGTGATTTAAAAATCACTTATTTCAATAAGTCCCCTGACTGATCATAAATATTTTAATTCTTAGTGGGCTCTAGGGAACTCTTGAAACTTTGAGCAGAAACTAAATGCATAGCATTGATAACTAATTTTTGAATTAAATTAATACATTATTCATTCACCATGGTAAATCAATGAGACAAGGCTTTTAAGGGATAAACTTAGCTGTAATAACAAGGCTTAGTTATTATACATGTAGGCATGTAACTTATTATATGAGACACATAGGAATTACTGGGAAGCTTGTGCAGAACCTCATTACATGCTCTGATCATTATTTCTTACAATAAATTAAAATACATTGTAATTAAGCATGATGTTTGTCTGAGCAAATGCCTTGGAGTGATGTAGAGAAGCTGTAATACATTTTTGTAACACCCTTTAGTTATTATGGGCATATTTTTCTGTAATAACATAGGTGTTCTATGCATGATTGGCAAACTATGAACTGTTATATCTTTCTATAGTTAAGTATACATAAAGACAATAGTAATATCAATAGAACTTGAATAAATTTTAACAAAACTAATGATGTATATTGTCCCTTTGAACTATGTAACATAGATATGTTATCACAGTTCTTTGATTTTTTAGTCCACAATAACAAATGTATATGTTATTTTTCTCTAATAAGTAATAACCCTATAGAGATATATCCTTGACTGATATAATCAACTATAAATGGTTGATTAAGACCCTTAAAGGGCCTTTCCCATACAGTATCTGACGTATATCATCATTATATTAACATAAATATTATTATATCATAATATCTAACTATTGTTATATTTTAAAGACACTATGAAATAGGAAGACTGTCTTATTAAAATAACATTTTTTCCTTGATGATAATTTATATGTACATTTCATCAAAAGAAAAGACAAGTTGTAGGTATTCCTATGGGCACCAATTGTGCCCTTTGATAGCAGACTTGTTCTTGTACTGTTATGAATTACTATTTATGACTGAACTCAGTAAAGACGCGTCTAAATTGCATTTAATTGATATATATTCAACATATCAACATGGTCTACAGTTATCTTGATGATATTTTTTGTTAAATAATCAAGACTCAAGTAATTTTGCAAAGGAAATTACTTTTAATCAATCAAATATAACTTTAATAACCGTCCTCTCCTAGATTTATAAATTTCAGTTTTACACAGGAAACTCTTTAATACAACAACAGTTAATTTTCTTTTTTTTGGCGGTGATGTTCCTTAGACATGTTAGACATGTTAAACACCATCTTATGGTGCTTTGATATGCACATTTTGTATATCACAACTCGTTCGCTTAAATGTTCTGACATGTTGGTTGTACGTGTAGATACAAAGATTTGGTTTGGAAGTTTGGTTGTACATGTAGAAATTAATTTTAAACGAGATAGCACATCCTAGTTTTTACAGAGAGCCCAGAAATTTAGATAGAATCCGGGTATTATCAATTCTTTAAATAAATTTATTTTAAAAGGTTGCCAATTCAACACTGTGAAGTAAATTTGTATACGACCTGCAACTTTAGTATAAGTAAATAGTATTTTCTATGAAATTTAAACACAAGGTTGATAACCACAAAAGGAAGGTTGGGATTGATTTTGGGGGTTATGGTCCTAACAGTTTAGGAATTAGGGGCCAAAAAGAGGCCCAAAAAGGCATTTTTCTAGTTTCCAGACAATAACTTGTGTTTAAGTGTATGGATCTCTCTGAAATTATACCACAAGTTTCCATACCACAAAGGGATGTTTAGGATTGGCTTTGGGGGGTTATGGCTTAAACCGTTTAGTAATTAGGGGCAAAAAAGGGGGAAAAACAAGGGTTTCCTGGTCAATGGACAATTTTAAATCAGTGTTATGGAGGTAATCCAAAAACAAAATTGTAAATGTTTTCTCATTTCAAATTTCAGAAATTAAACAAAATTTCTTCACATATTTTTTTTTTTGCAAAAAAAAAGGGGGGGGGGGGGGGGGGGGGGTTCAATAAGCAACAGCATAGTGTATTGCAGGAAAGCAAAAAAAAAAAGGGGTTAATTTAATTTTTTTTTAAGGGGGGAGGGGGGGGGGGGGGTCAATTCGCACAGGCACAGTGTTATTGCACAAAAGCAAAAAATTTAATATAAATTCAAATCATATAACCAATTCTAAGTTCTTTGACTACAGTTATTCTGTATCAGAAACCTATTATGTGTCAAATATTTAATTACAATCCAAATTCAGACCTGTATCAAGCGCGAATATTGTGTCCATTTTTGCCCCAACTGTTCAGGCCAGGGTTGGACCTCTGTGGTCATATCCAGCTGCGCCCGGCGAAGCAATTTATTGAATATTGTGTTTATTGGTATAGATATTAATTTTGTTATCAGTAAGTTAAAATCTAACTAAATATTATTTTTATATACATGTACATATGCATATCTACTAAAATCATGCCTTTAACAATTTTTCTCAGGTAAGCTCATAATTTTTTATTAAAATTCAATGTTTCATCTCATTAATTCAATAGAGAAACTTATTGATCTTAAGTATTTGTGCAAGGCCTTCAAAAATTGCACCTTGGGGGCTTGTAAATGAGCAGTGTTCTGAACATGCTGAAGATAACAGACAAATGAGATTTTCATTGTCCGTGAATTCACACTTAATGATAAGTAAAGACATCTGCAAAGGAAAGACAATTAAAAATTCTATTAGAGCAAAGAAGTCCTAAGAATTCAAGAAAAGAAGATTGGATGACTTTTTTACTTGTATAAGTAAAAAAAATCTGAATGTCTAAGGGACATAACTAGGCCAAAAAATTATTTACCTATCATTTGCCTATACAAATACACTTGTATAAGTATCCTACAAATTTACTTATATACTTATATTAATATTTACTTCTTCAGGGAAATAAAAATTACTTGTATAAGTAGTACCCCTGACTGTCTGTTCAAGCAGAGGATATACAAATATATTCTGAATCCAGATTTCCCCCATACCTTACAGAGTTAAATTTTGAACAAAATCATTTGATTGAAAGTGTTGAAAAACTTAACAAAATTGTGAGCCAAAATCTTTTTCTGACTCAGACAAAAAACCATAACCCCCCTTGAAGTTAAATGGTTGCTCCATCACTGAAGTACAAATGTACTTGCATATATATTTACAGTTATATATGTATATGTACACTGAAAGAGAACATATTATTTGTGTCAGCAACTTTTGATATTATAGAACCTCTTTCCATTAACCCAAGAATCATTAAATGTAATTGTTGTTTTTTTAATTTTATTTCAGACCTTTGTACCTAAAAGCAGAAAAAGAAAAAGAGAAGTGGACAGCAGCACAAATAATACATGTACCAACAGAAATATAGATAAAAAAGTCAAATCTGTACCTGCAAAGAATTTAACCAATCAAGGTTCAAATCAAGTTGTTACATGTTCTCAAGGTATAACTTGTATTCTTAAAAAGAAATTTGGGGGGGGGAATTACAATCCTTGCGTGGCTGACTTGATAGTTATCAATTTTCAGGACTTTTATCACAAGATACACAAAAATATAATGCATTAGGCAGGGGCAAAATTCCAATTTGAACATTGAATTGTGACCTAAATATACTACTGCAAAAGTTTGTAATTGTAACTCGGATTACTCCTGAAACCACACAACTGAATTTCATGAAATTTTGTATATATATAATTTAAGGACCAACTATTTGTAGATGTGCATATCGACATGAAATTATGAGTCATGATTCTATTAGTTTCACGGTGTGCATTTGTCCTAATACAGGAATTTATCAGGTCAATAAAATTCAAATCGGGTGAGGCAAACCCGATATGAATTTTATTGACCCAATTAATTTCGTATTAGGACAATTGTACTCTGTGTAACAAATTTATCCTGATTTTGTTATCACACCACATATTTATTGTTTTTTAAAAATAGTATTAAAATAGTATTAAACATATTAATTATCAACCAAATATATTTAGATATTTAATCTAAAACTGGATGGAAAAAAAATGGAAAATATTTGGCCTTTTTTTTTATTAAGTTAATGGTATAAGGGAGATAATTGGAATTGACTTAATAAAAAATTGCACTGAAATTTATTAGGAAATGATCAGCCTATCAAATTACAAGAAATTACTATAAATCAGGATAAAATATATTTACTACAAAAAACAATGTAAGAATTATGCACCTTTGTTGTGTGTCATAGTAGCCTGCTCGCCTCATTGTTGGAGGCCATAGGTTCCATTCCCAGCTTAGTTATATGGAAGACTTTAAAATTAATATTTGCTGCTTCACAATGTTCACTACATATAGAAGTAATTAAGAGCTGGATGTGACTATATATACTGAATTAGCACTGCTATTCCTGCTTCCCTTTGTCTAAAAATAAGAAATCTACAACAGCATAGATTGACTTTGGTATAAATGAATTGAGATCAAACATATCTTGAATATGATAGCCAAGCCCAAACCATATGAACCAGTGTAATTGGTTTTGTGATCATGTTTATTTCGGGATTAACAAATCTAAATATAGCTTAGGTTTTTAGACTATTTTCAAACTGTTTACAAAAACAAATAATCATGATCTTTGTCGAGCCTGCGACTTTAGTTGCAGAAAGCTCGACATAGGGATAGTGATCTGGCGGCAGCGGCAGCGTTAACTAACTTCTTAAAAGCTTTATATTTTAGAAGGTGGAATACATGGATGCTTCATACTTTGTGTATATAGATGCCTTATGTTACGAAGTTTCCGTCTGTCACATGTCCATTGTCCTTGACCTCATTTTCATGGTTCAGTGACACTTGAAAAAAAAGTTAAGATTTTTTGTAATGTTAATTTCTCTCTTATTATAAGTAATAGGATAACTATATTTAGTATGTGCGTACTTAGCAAGGTCCTCATGCCCGTCAGACAGTTTTCATTTGACCTAGACCTCATTTCATGGATCAGTGAACAAGGTTAAGTTTTGGTGGTCAAGTCCATATCTCAGATACTATAAGCAATAGATCTAGTATATTTGGTGTATGGAAGGATTGTAAGGTGTACATGTCCAACTGGCAGGTGTCATCTGACCTTGACCTCATTTTCATGGTTCAGTGGTAACATAGTTAAGTTTTTGTGTTTTGGTCTGTTTTTCATATACTGTATGCAACAGGTCTACTATATTTGGTGTATTGAATGATTGTAAGGTGTACATGTCCAATTGGCGGGTGTCATCTGACCTTGACCTCATTTTCATGGTTCAGTGGTCAAAGTAAAGTTTTTGAGTTTTGTTCTTTTTTTCTAATACTCTATGCAATAGGCCAACTATATTTGGTGTATGGAAATATTAATATTGGTCAGTTTTTCTTAAGCTATAAGCAATAGGTCAACTATATTTGTTGTAAGGAAGGATTGTAAGCTGTACATGTCTGTCTGCCATGGTTCATCTGACCTTGACCCCATCTTCATGGTTCAATGGTCAATGTTTAGTTTTCTTGGTTAAGTCTGTTTCTAATTAGAAACTATAAGCAATAGATCAACAATATTTAGTGTATTGAATGATTGTTAGGTGTACATGTATTTCTTGTTTTGTTTATATGACGTTGACCTCATTTTCTTGGATCATGTTAAGTTTATGTGATAATTGTAGTAAAGATTTATATTTAGGACTGTCAACATAATATCAATGGTTAGTGAAGAAGACAAGACATTTCAGCGTGTGCACTCTTGTTTATAAAACATGTGTCTGTGTTGGGTGACATGTATTCATATGGACTGTTACATGGTGGTCAACATTATCTAATTCTGCATATACATTTAATATGCCATTCGAATTAAAATAATCCTCCATCCATTTATCCAAGTTTTAATGAAAAGAAAAATGAAATAGAGGCAAAAAATACAATTTAAGGAAAATTCAAACTCATAATTAGTTGAAAACAAACTGATATAAATCTTTGGCAAAAAGATAATCAAAATACAAACAACAGTATACAAAACAATACATAGTAAATTAAAATATGAGCAACAGGAACCCTACCACAAACAAGGGAGATATCATATGCGTTGGAAGGGTTTAACAGATCCTTTGTCCCACATGAAGCATCTGTCATGTTGCTAATATAAGAAAAAAAACCGTGAAATGTTACATTCATAAAGTTTTTTGTCATATATACATGTACATTGTTTATCATTTGAATTATTTTCCAGACACAGTTGATGATGATGATAGTTACCCTACTATGTACCTAGTAAAGACTGGACTGCCCAAAGATGTTCATGCTGATGAAGTAAAGAAAACTAATAATGAACTTTATAGAAATACTATTGACCACAACTATTCCAAAAAACACTTACTATTACCCTGGGTTCAAGGAAAGCAGTTCATTTGTCCATATTGTTGTACTGATAAAACAGGAAGATCGTTTGATACAGAATCTGAGCTCAATTTGCACAAAAACACTCATACTCGTACAATGCCACAAATTTGTCAATCTTGCTGGAAATGCTTTGGAACAAGGGAAGAATTGTTTAAACATAATTTTATGGAACATAATGATTTATATCGAAAGCAAATAGAAGCACAAAAAAATAAATATTATCGCAAAATCATTCCTGTTCAGGATGAAATTTGTTTACAAACAATTATTCCTTTGAATAAGTTCAAAGAATCACAAACACAGAATGAAATTCAGGAATATTCTGGTAATCATGAAACAATAGAAACTCATATTAATGAAGAACTTGGATCTTCCACAATTAATCCTTCAAATCAAGATTCAGTACATCTCAATGAAAGATCACCAACACACCTAGAGGCAGTGGATCCTTATGTTGATAATGATTCTATAGAAAATCATATAAAGGTAGAACCTGGATCACCAACAACTTATAATTTGACCAAAGATGCAGTACACATAAATGAAGGACAACTAAGACCCATACAGGGTTTTTCTTATAAATATAATACAATAGAACCTCAAGTTGAGGAAAAATCTGGATTACTATCAATTCATCCTTTGAACCAAGATGCAGTACACAATCATGAAGGATTTGAAACAGATAAACTTTCATTTGATCATAAGTCGATAGAACCTCAATTACCCACATCTCCACATTTGCATGAAAATGGAGAACATAATAATGACGGTTTAAAAAATCACTTAGACATGTTAGAAATGCAAAAACTTTCTTGTAATTATAATTCAATGGAATATTGTATTAATAAAGAACCTGAATCATACATAAATTATCCTTTGAAATTAGTTGCAGTTCATACCAATGATAAATTACAAACAGAATTAGAAACAGAGGTATTGAATTGTCATTATGATAGGATAGAAACTCAAATTAAGGAAGAACCTGGAGTACGAACAGTTTATCTTTTAAAAAAAGATGCAGTACACGATAACAAAGGACTAGAAACACAAGTAGAAACACGGAAAAAATCTGAATTAAATACAGTTTATCCTGTGGAATTAGTTGCAGTACATGGATCACGAGCCATTCATTCTTTAAAGCAAGATGCAGTACACAATAATGAAGGACTGGAAACACAAGTAGAAACACAGAAAAAATCTGAATTAAATACAGTTTATCCTGTGGAATTAGTTGCAGTACATACCAATGGTGGATTACGAACTGTTCATCCTGTAAAACAAGATGCAGTACACATGGATGAGGGATTTCAAACACAACTAGAAACACAGAAAGTCTCCTCAGATCATGATACAATTGAAGTTCACATTAAGGAAGAACCTGCTTGGCCTGATGTTCATGTCATGAACCAAAATGAAGTACATATCAATGAAGGATTACAAAAACATCAAGAAACACAAAACCCTTCTTGTGTTTCTAATACAAAAGAATCTGTTACTATGGAAGATACTGGATTATTCACAATGCATCCTTTGGAACAAGATGCAGAAGCTATTCCAGAAGCATCACGAATACAAGCTCAAGTTAGTGCAACCATTTTTGAACAGTTGCAAAAGGAACCATTGATTTCACACATGGACTGTTTATCACAAACAGAAGGCAGTAACCATGGTAACCTACACATCTGTTCAGTATGTAACAGAGAGTTCAGTTGTTTAAAAGACCTGCAGTGGCATCTTTGCAAAAAGACCTATCCATGTGAAATATGCAACGCAGAATTTATAGCCGATTTTCTTTTGCAAAAACACATGGAAAAACATAGCAATCAAACATTTTTTTTGTGTGGTATATGTAAAGCTCCTTTTGATTCTAAAGTTGAAAGAGGAAAGCATACAAATGTGATGCACAGAAAAAAATTTCAATGCATAAAGTGTTCGAAAGATTTTCCCAACAAATACAGTCGAAAGAGACATAATTTGATTCATACAGGTCAAATATTTTTTTGTAAGCTTTGCGATTATAGTTTTGCTACAAAACATTCTTTAGAGAGACATATTAATGCTGCAAAGCATTCGGCGCTTGCAAAAAAAACTTTTGTGTGTGAAATATGTCACGAGTCTTTTTTGCGCAAGACTAACCTTGTTAAACATATTGCAATTCATAAAAAGACAAAGTCATTCACTTGTTTAACATGTTCTAAAACATATGATTGTAAATATGATTTGTCGGAACATTACAAATTATGCAAGAAAGATGCATTTCAAGAATCAAGTAAATGTTGCATTTGATAAAACCTATGACATTGGTGATTAATACTATGAAAGGATAGCGTAGTAAAATAAAATATTTCATATTTTGATTAAATATTTTAATTTGTATTACAATGTATAAGTTATAGTGAACCATTTTCAGGTTTTTAAGGTGATTCTCAAAGATTTTATATCCTTACCTAAGAGTTATTCAAGAAATAGCAATTTGTGTTAATTAAACTACAAATACCATTTATCCTGACTTTTTCAGTTGCAATCAATCATGTGAATAAAACTGTTCGATCATGATCATTGGGAATTAAAAAGGTGCATGTGGAGCATGCAACAATTAGTGGATGAGTTTTGAAAATAAGAATCAGGTTTTTGTCCCCCCCCCCCCCCCCCCCACCCCCCCAAAAAAAAAATAAAATATAAAGACAGAAAGAAATCCACCTATCTGATAAAAGGTTCCTTGCAAGGTCTTCCTGTCTCTACCTGACATCTACCTCACTTCATGGGTCAGTGATCAAGGTGAAAGTTACATGATTTAGTCTATGTCAGATACTGTAAGCAGTAGGTCAGCTCATATAATACTTTTGTCTTTGGAATGATTGTAAGGTGAACATACATGTATAATCATTAAAAGATGTGGTATGATTGCCAATGAGACTATTCTCCACAAAAGACATAATGACACTGAAAATAACAAATACAGGTTAATGTACGGCCTTCAACAACGAGTAAAACGTTAACTCATACCGTATAGTCAGCTATAAAAGGCCATGAAATGACAAATGTAAATCAATTCAAACAAGAGAACTAACTGACTGATTTACAATGTATATACAAAATAATGAACAAAAAACAAGTATGATATATGGAAACAAATGACAACCACTGAAGTACAGGCTCCTGATTTGGGATGTTTTATTGGCAGATATCATCTGTCCATGCTGACCCTGACCTCATTTTCATGGTTCAGCAGTCAATGATAAAATTCAGTGGTTAGGTCCTCTTCCAAGATTCTATAATCTATAGGGCAACTATGTTTGGTGTATGAAATGATTGTAAGGTGTACATGTAAGTCTGTTTCATATGCCCTTGACCTCATTTTCATGGTTAAATGGTCAATGTAAAGATTTTGTGTTTTCATCTGTTTCTCGGGTAATATTAGCAATAGCCCACTTTTTACGTCCCTTTGGTTTATTTATGGCGTTTCCAGAGAGGAAAGGGCAGTATATTGCACGTATAAAAAAGGAATCTGCAGAAAATTAATGGAGAAAATTAAATTATTCATGCCAAAATACTTCCATCCGGGCCTGCCTCCATGTCTGATGATGAGTCCACTCTTCATTGGTTTATTCTTACATGTCTATCTTAGGATTAACTTTGTGAAGTGTAGTTATGATTATGTCGTATTGATTTTTGTATGATTTCGGCTGTCTGAACAATCCTCCACTGGCCACAGTCCAAATAAAGCGGATTTAGCAGTTATGGGTCACACTCACAGGCACTTGTCTCAGGTTTTCCTATATTAATACCTATTGAGGTATATAGGAAAAAACAATTCTCAGACAGGTAGGTGCCTGTGGTCCCATTACGGGCTTGAATAATGAGTAAAACCTATATCTTATAGCAAGAATTGTATAATCTATACAGTAAAAATATACAAATCCTTGCTTATAATCCGCTACAAAAGTCCCCGACACTGAATTACAGGGCTGTGACTTCAGTCTTGGGTTATGCACATATAAAATGCGGCGGGGTCAAACATGTTTGTGATAACTCAAACATCCCCTAAGGGAACTACCTTTTGATTTTTAGGGGGGGGGAGGGGTTGCTAGGATGAGATTAAAAAAAACTCTTCACATGAGACAACATAGCACAGAAATTAACAACTATATTATATAATAGGTCACCATACGGCATTCATCAATGCTCGAGTAAAGCCCATACCTCATAGTAGGTTATAAAAGGCCCCGAAATGGCATCTGTAAAACAATTCAAACGAGGAAACCAACGGCCTAATTTATGTACTACAAAATAATGAACAAAAACAAATATGTAACACAGCAACAAACGATCGACAACCACTGAATTACAGGCTCCTGACTTGGGACAGGCACATACATACAGAATGTGGCATGGTTAAACATTATAGCAGCGACCAACCCTCCCCTAACCTGGGTCAGTGGTGTAATAGTACACCATAAGAACTAACTATAAAAATCAGTTGAAAAAGACTTTCAGTGTATGTTCACTGGTGTTAATATGTCTTTTGATTGAGTTAAGCCATTTCAATTGATATTTTATAGTGTGTCTTTCTATGTTGTGATGTTACAGTATTGTTTCAGATAAGGGTGAAGGTTTGGTACCATTAAAACGTTTAAACCCGCTCCAATTGTTTGCACCTGTCCTAAGTCAGGAATCTGATGTTCAGTAGTTGTCGTTTGTTGATGTGGTTCATAAGTGTTTCTCGTTTCTCGTTTTTTATATAGATTAGACCATTGGTTTTCCCGTTTGAATGGTTTTACACTAGTAATTTTTGGGGCCCTCTATAGCTTGCTGTTCGGTGTGAGCCAAGGCTCCGTGTTGAAGACCGTACTTTGACCTATAATGGTTTATTTTTATAAATTTTGACTTGGATGGAGAGTTGTCTCATTGGCACTCATACCACATCTTCTTATATCTATTAACTCATCAGATGGATACAAACAGAAATACATCTAACAAAAACATAGAGTGCACGTGGCCGGGTACTTGTACATCCCAACAACAAAAAGAAAAAAAAACAGATCTGAGAGTACTCGCAGTTACTGACAGCTTGTTCAAGGCCAAAAACAACTAATAAACAAATCATGCATCAAACAGTACACATCCAACATCCAATATATTTAGTGTAAAGACGTCATGAATAGGTCAGAGAAAAACATGACCTTGTGAAATGTCAAGATACAGGTATCGACAGATTGCAGTATATTTTGAAAATTCTTGATTATTTAACGAAACAATATCATTAAGATAACAGTAAGTGTTTCTGGCTTTATTAATTAAATTCAATTTAGACGGGTCTTCACTGAGTCTGGTCATAAACTGTGATTCATAACAGTACAAGAACAAGTCTGTTATTAAAGGAGCACACTTAGTGCCCATATGAATACCCAATACCTGTCGATAAACAATGTTGCCGGAACGTACATAAATATTATCAAGGAGAAATAGCTTCAATAATCTCATCACACCTCCAGTTAGTATATATATATATATATAGCATATTTACCTTTCTCCTTAGAGAAGAAGGCTTTTTAATGAGTTGCAGCAAATATATTTGGCATGGTTAAACATTATAGCGGCGCCCAACCCTCCCCTAACCTGGGTCAGTGGTGCAATACTACACCATAAGAACTAACTATAAAATCATGTTTACAAAAGTATGAATGTTTCGAAATACCAAGGGTTTTCTTATCCCAGGCATAGATTACCTTAGCTTAATTTGGCACAACGTTTTGGAATTTTGGGTCCTCAATGCGCGTCTGGCGTAATAAATTATAAGCCTGGTACCTTTGATAACTATTTACACCACTGGGTCGATGCCACTGCTGGTGGACGTTTCGTCCCCGAGGGTATCACCAGCCCAGTAGTCAGCACTTCGGTGTTGGCATGAATATCAATTATATGGTCATTTTTATAAATTTCCTGTTTACAAAAGTATGAATTTTTCGAAATACTAAGGGTTTTCTTATACCAGGCATAGATTACCTTAGCTTAATTTGGCACAACTTTTTGGAATTTTGGGTCCTCAATGCTCTTCAACTTTGTACTTGTTTGGCTCTATACCTATTTTGATCTGAGCGTCACTGATGAGTCTTGTGTAGACGAAACGCGCGTCTGGCGTATTAAATTATAAGCCTGGTACCTTTGATAACTATTTGCATGAATATTTATCAAAACGACCATTTGATTAAATATGAAACCTTTTGTTTGATAAGATTCAGTGGAAGTGTAGTGCAAAGAGTTGAAAAGTCAAAACTGTCAACAGCATAAAAAAGACCACAAAAAGCACGTTATTTAAAAAAACAAATCCAAAAGAATTTGTTTACACTTTAAAATCAGTTAATTCGACTATTTTCATATAATATATTTCAAAAGTTAATGATACGTTCTTTGATAGTAGTTAAGGAACTAGTTAAAATCACTGAAAGATTAGTTGTAGAACACTCTCAAGAGGCCGAGATGAAACCACATTTTACATGTTTTTTGTTTAGTTTAGGTAACCGATACATACATTGCCCATTATATTTTTTTTATATTTTAGCTCCTCGTTATTCTCTATTGTATATTTTGCAGGTCAATTTTCTCTATTTTTGACATTTTATACCCACTATTCTTTATTCTAATGCAATTGTTTTGTATCAATGGTTCTGATTGGGTGACAATAAGCGTACAATTCTCTATCTCCCGGTCTGTAACTAAGGAAGCCGACATTTTGAATTCCGGAATGTATGGACATGTAATTTCTCCAATAATAAACAAAAAAACTTACATTTTGCACCTAGAAATCTTCTTTATATAAAATTTTATTACATTCTGAAGCGGACAAAAAGCAAGAAAACGCCCGGTGTTTACCTTTGAAGCCGGAAGCATACTTATGACGTCACCTTGTTTAGGCGCCAAAGAAGATAACATCATTTCGCGGAATTTTCGTTTAATGAAGATTTACACTATAATAATGACTAAAATTGAATGATTTGTTTATCTTGCATTAGAATAGAGATAACAGTATTGTATTTGAAGCTTTGCGGACGTCCATCGGTAGTTTTACTGTCGCAAATAACCGTTTACCTGTCTCCGCTACGCGTCGCCAGGTAATCTAAATTTGCGACAGTAAAACTACCGATGGACGTCCGCAAAGCTTCAAATACAATACAGTTATCTCTAAATTCTGTAAACCCCCCTCCACACACTTATTAATTAAAGAGTATGATACATGTCTCCGCTCATTTTGAAATACGCATGTACTTTTATTTAATTTGGTAGATTGTTGTATCAACATTCTGCCACTGATCGAAATTTAAAAAAAGGGGATGTTCGAGATCCCGTTAAAACTTGTTAAAACCTGCAGCATCAGCATCTGCCTGTTCCAAAAGAGCGGCGAAGGATAGTATGGGTAATAAATTACATACAAATAAGGAGATTCGATATGATTGCCAATAATACAACTATCCACTGAAGTCCAAATGAAGTGGATGCGCGCAATTATAGGCAACCGTACGGTGTTCAACCATGTGAAAATTCATACCGTATGGTCTGCTATAAAAGGCATCGACATGGAAAATATGAAACCATTCAATTG